AAAATTGAGGGAAAGAATAACGAAAATCCGAAAAATTGATTTTACAGAAAAACAAGACCTGATAAGAGAAAACCGATCACAGACTCGGAATGTACGGCCTCCATTTATCCCAACCTAGGTCTTACCTATTCTGTTGGGTTTTGGCTGTCGGGCAGTGTAACGAATGGGAATTCTGGTTGTGAATGCGCGGGTCACTGCAGAACTGACGGTTGTGGTGGGTTGTTCACCAGAATCAGTTGACGATTCACGGGGAATGTCCGTCGAGATCCTAGTCTGATTTAATAGAACTTTCATTTCGCTCGGAATCGGTCTCCTTACACCCAGGTCGGTGTCTTCGACCGGTGGGGCTGAAAAGTAAAATCGATGGACTGAAGCAGACAGTGACTCTGCAGAGACTCACAGTTTCTAAGAGATGTCGATCCAAGGCTCTTGAGATGCGATAATTTGAGCTGATCTTCGATTCACTCACTGAGTATTCCAGTCACCCACACTGGCGGAAGTAATCCCAAAACGGGAGTCACGAACACAGCTCTCCGATATTTCCCAATCGGCACCTCGTTTTCACGAGTATCAACCGTTCTCGATGGACAAGGAAATGAAAGTGATCAAGCACCTAAAGCTCGTGTTGTGTTTAATGAGTGTTTTCGAAAAGGCATCATGCTTTCCAAGCTATAAGAAGAGAAAGTTTCCTCGCGTTGCTTATTGAACTAATTTGAAAACGATCTGTATCACCGAACTTTGAGATGCCTAGTCAACGGCTGACTCGGATCGTGGTATGAGTGCGGCTTTGTTCACAGAGGAATCGGCTTTCAATCGTTTGAAACCCAATCCTGCGGGGGATGTTATCATTGTCGACCCATGGTCATGCAGATCGCTAGAGGTACATCGACGGTACACGGTTACATGAGAGTAATTTTTTTTAGATCCACTCGAAGGCATATGCTATGTACAGTCGTTTCCCCTGACAGATCTTGAACGACTCTGACCAAGTCACTGTTGACATGTACAATCATAGGTACAGCAGTTATATACAATCCCGGAATCCTCTTCATATTTACAGATATACTTATTTTTCGAGCCCTCGAATATACACACAAATATACAAATATGCTCGCCCTCGAATCGGACAATGTACGACAAGAAAAATTGCGGATATTGGTAGTTACAGGCGGTATGATGGGAGGACTATATATGGATGAATTTTTGGGAAGCGCTGATGACTTATCTGCGAGCAAACGGTCGAGTTTAGGATCCCGGATTTGTCGACGATTTTTTTTCGCAGAAGGAGATGGTGGCTAACACTTACGAGAAGTTCCACCATCGGTTGATATGATGGTGATTCGGATAACCACAACCACGATGAGCACCATACCGATTAGCCCATACGTTTTGAAACCAGGATTGAGACACTTGCGTTCGACGAACGTAGGCCCCCGTTTCGATTTTGTCTCAATGCTATGCGTTGGCACGAAACTGACCTCCGTCGGCGAACTGGACTTCCATCAGGGAACTAGTCCTCTCTTTGTCCCTCGACATGGGATCAACGTCCATCGGGGAGTCAGCTCTCACCTGCTCCCGCTGGTGGGGAAGAACTGTGCGTGTCACGGGCCTAACTTGCTTCTTTGGGACTGGGGGTTCCCGTCGCTGGAACTTGTAGTCGCGTCGATTTCGGCGCCCTGACGGTCCGGGTCGAAACTGATGAAAATATGTAGCTCTTGACCCACTCGGGGATACCCGATGTAGGAAGAAGCGTTATATCCGTGTAACAGTTTTCAGTCTTCCGTGTCTAGAATGTAGCACGTCCTAGATAGTTTCTCTCTCCTGGCTACGCGGACTGTCATAGCTTCGTTGTCCGCTGTACTATAAAAGCATACGTCTATGTAATAAAGACACTCTGGCTGGTTACTCAGGCTATCCTGGTTGCCGACTTCGCTTGACGTGTTCTCAACCGAAAGTCCCGTGTATTTATTCAACATCGTGAATCCCTCCACACAGTACTCATCTCACAGCTGAATTTTGACTGAGCATTCGACTAGTGGACCATCAAATTTCCAAGAGAAACTTCTTCAACGGAGAGTCGTCAAGACTCATGGCTCTCGACCAATTTCGCGTCTCGCCGATCACGCCACGGAAGTTGAGGTCTCCCATCCATGCTAACCATCTTCGTCGGTTCAACTCCATCTTCGTCGGTTCAACTCCATCTTCGTCGGTTCAACTCCATCCTCCTCAGAGAAACTTGTTCGGTGGATGGGAACGCGAGAAACTTGTTCGGTGGTGGATCGAACCCCTGCTTCTATAGCATCGGAGAATTCTCTCTCGAAGATTCGAGTCAATTCCCTATCGATAGATCAAATGTCTCCCCGAAGTGGACCTCATGTTCAGGTGCGAGATCTTACAACAAATCAAAGGCGACTTGGGACACTGATGGACTCTTTGCTCTCTCTTTGCCCTTAGACTTGGGACAAGGCTCGAAGCTCCAGCATCTTGCCCTATGTAAAAGGTCTATCTGTAGATCTGCCATCTCAAGGTGCATGAATGTGTTCCACTGCTCGTTCAAACGCACCCCACTCGAAAATATTACTCGGCCCACCAATTCAACGATTTAGGTTCATTCCTGAATTCGGGATCCCCGTGCGAGGGGGAATGATGAAATAGTGAATTCACCAGAGCAAAACGTCCCTGGGTATTTTCTCAACCCTTCCACAGGCTCCATTGCCAGTGTTCTTCTGTAACCCTTAGTATCTGGACAATTAGCTAACCCTGAGCAGTTGTTACAATGTAACCATTTTCACTGGATCACTATATAAGGATGGAATAAAGAATCCCCGTCAGGGGGAACGTTCACCAGAGACCCAGTGTGTTCGCTAGTCGAGGTATCGATAAGTGGACATCAAGCTCTCCACTCAGGGACTAGAACTTGGGTAGAAGGGCATGAGCGACTGCTGGTCAACGTCTGCGAATCTCGAATTTTTGCTGCGCCGACGGATCTATTCGAAATGTCGTTTCCAAGTTCCATTTGGAACTCCCACTTCACAGATGCGGGAGCCGCAATTCTTCGCTATTCGTCCGGGGGCCCACTTCGATCCTGACGTTTGGTAGTTCCGACCATCACCGTTTCTGCTACCATGAACTTCGGAAAGTTAGTGAACGTGTGCTCTAAGGGTTGTTCTTTCAGCAAATCTAGTTTCGATCCTAGTTCTCGACCGAGCATGCCACAGGCTGAACTCTCTCCTGTGGCGCTTTACATCATGTGTTGCCGGTAGAGGAACAGCGATAAACTTGCGTCGAGGTCCTTCCCTTCCGAAGAGAGTTTCTACAAAGCCATCTTCGGGGTGTTGACGTAACGTTCGACCTGTCCTTTAGATGCCGGATGATGGGGTGGCGATGTAATGTGTCTGATGCCATTAGTCAAGCAGAAATGATTGAATTGAGCTGAGGCAGAGGTGGGATCATTATCGGTAACCACGATTTCCGGAATGCCGAAGCGTGCCATTGTCCCCTGGAGATGCATCAATGTAGCGGCTGAGGTTTTTTTCGAGGTGATGAAAGCCTCCTATAGGAGTCAACGAGAAGCAAGATATACTTTCCTTCAATCGGGCCGGCGTAGTCGAGGTGTAGCCTTTCGAATAGACGGCTCGGTGGGTGCCGACCATGGTAGATCGCCCGAGGCGGATTTCGCGCATGTGGTGAACAGGCCGTAAACGACACGGTGATGTCGGAGATATCTTTATCGATACCTTCCGACCAAACATACCGTCCGGCGAGATTGCTCATTTTATCCGAACCATAGTGTCCTTGATGGAGCTCGTTCAGGATTTGTTTTCCGCATGTTTTCGGAATAACCACCCGATGACCTCGTGGTATGACTTTGTTGTCGTGGATACTGAATTCGCACAAGTCGACGCCGAAGTGTTTCGAATCTCGTCCTGATTTTCCTGATTCTTGAAGCCTCAGCCATAACGATTCGAGTTCCTCGCAGATCTCCGTTTCGTTTGCAATTACGTCGAATTGCAGCGGTTTAACTCGGATTCGGCAAAATACGAAATCCCTCACTTTGTCATTCGCGATGAGAGTTTCGCTACGCATTGGCAGACGGGACAACACATCTGCGTTTCCATGTAGCTTCGTCGAACGATATCTAATCTCAAAATTGAAGTTCATGAGATAAACCGCGTAGTGCTGCATGCACGTCGCTGACAATGGAGGACGCGATTTCTCGGGAGCGAATATCTGTGTCAATGGCCGAGAATCTGTCATGAGCGTGAATCTTCGGCCGAATATATAGTAGAAGAATCGCTCCTTCCCGCTTCAATCGCTGAGGCTTCTTCGTCTATTTGGCTGTACCTTCTCGTCAGTGCGTCAGTGGCCAGCACGATCGGTTTCAGCGGGTCGAAAGGCACGAGAACTGTTGGGGAGCACAAGTCCTGCTTGATCCGTGCAAACGCTCTTTCCATCCGGTCACACCAGACTGTTGGGAATCCGTGAGTATCCTTAGTATAGGCTCACTGAGAAAGGTACTCAGTCGGCAGGAGTCCACTGTTTGCAGTTTTAGAGTTTGTTTCGGCGCAATGTTCTGATGATCCCCGAAGGTCGAGGGCTGGCAGGGAAGATGCTCTCAGGAATGAGGACGCAAGGGATGCGTGTGACAGAAGAATCTGTGTTTGATGTTTATTTGAATGCTGCTTATATACCGTCTGGACTCCATGGGCCCGTACAGTGAAAAAAAACCGGTGGCAGGTAGTATCTTCGACACTACCGTTAAGCGTGAAAACGTCAGATACATCCGGTGTTGTTCTGCTTATATCGACTGACTAATGTTTTGAACTCGAAATGATTCATTCCCAATCAAGATAAAAATGCTTGAAGGTTATATTGAAATTCCATTCTGGCTTGGAGGTCAGTCTTGTCTCAAGTAGACGGGTTCAACACTTCTTCAAATTCTTGGTCGGCGCCCTCTTGTTCCCACCACGTAAGAAGCCGCATCTGAGCTGCTATAGCGTCGGCGTCCTCTTTCTGAATGATGGTGCTGCTTGGGGTTGCTAGCGATCGGTGCCCATCGTACTCCTTGACCATAGCGTTTTGGACGAGTATACTGGTTCCTTCGCTGTCCTTAAGCTTATTCACATGGTCATTCCATTCTTGCACACAGGATCTAATTTGGGCAAGTCTGTTGGCTTCGGTGGGTATGTATATCCATTGATTCTACTGAGATTGGGTATTTTCTTATTCCTACAAATCTTGTAGCAATTGTGGCAGAGTCTGAAACTGACGGCATCTTCGTCCGGGAAATATGGTGCCAAATAATCTGCCATCTGAGAGGTGATCGGCTTCAAATCCCGTACAAACCAGATGCGATCGCAAACATCGCATTTGTGTCCAAATTCATTATCGGAAAACATGCGACGGAACTGAATTGTGGCACGCTTCCATAATTGAGTGTATGTGAATCGTTTCGACTTGGCTCGTCGATCGATGTTGAAATGTCATTTGATTCGTTTACTCCCCTGCGGGCATTGTCAGCTCCAGTACCACGAGACACGACCGATGAAGTCTCTCGGCGACGCTTCCGGTATTCAGCTGGCCTCTCAGCAGAAGTTTTCTTTCTTTTCACTGCCCTGCCCGCTGAAGCTTCCGCTCGCCGTATGTTTTGCCTTCTACTGGCGGTTTTTGGCCGCATCATGGAAAATTCACAATCTCAAATGATCAATGCCGATGACGATCACTAATCAAGAATGTAATGAACTTGACGGATTCCTCCCATGATAACGAAGAACCCTTGAGTGGCACTAGGTTTATGTCCCGAGTCCCGACAAAACACTCGATTTTGGAAGTTGTTCTATCCTGCTGTGAATGCGAATCTGACCGGCGTCAGAACTCCCCCTTTCGCCATCTTGTTCAGCGCCTGTTCAGCCTGTTCTCTTTTCGCATATGGCACGGATCTCGCTTTGCTGAAGGTGGCCACGGCTCCCGGGATGACTTCCAGCTTGAGCTTTTGGCCCCTGAAGCGACCCAAGTCACTCCCGAATACGTCCTTGTAATCTTTTATCACTTCTTGCCACGTACCTCCAACTTCGTTTACTGTCATCTCTGCGGTCTCGTTCTGACTTGCAGGCAGACATTCCCCGAATTTCTTCAACCAGTTTCTTCCCATCAGTGTTCTTCCTTTCCGAACCACCAAGGCCCTTAGTTTCTCCTTTCTTCCGCGGCTCTCGACGTCATATTCCGCTATTCCGACGATATCAATATTCTGATTGGTGTACGAGAAAACTGGAATGTTGTGAGGGTTGATTTTCGGTCGTGGTCGTAGCTCGTTGTGGATTTTCAAGGGTATGAGAGTATAGGCTGAGCCAGTATCGCACAGCAGTTCCTGAATGGAACCTTGTATTTGGCTTCCATTTTTGTGTGGTGGAATATAATCGTCCAGGCCTGTCGTTCGGCTCAGGTTGACTGATATCGCCTCTACTCCGTACCTGCCATCCTCCTCGGTTTCAGGTTCTTCCGCGCAGTCCGTCCAGTTGACGTTATTCTTGCACATTTTCTCTTTATGCCCTCGTCGTCCACAATTACCACAGAATCTCTTTCGGTCTTTGCATTGAGCTACCATGTGGGTGCCTGATCCACAGCAGAAGCACGTTCTCGATTTTTGTTCAACTTTTCCCGTTGTTCGAGAGCGCCGCGCCCCGAATTTGTTCCTGAACTCCACGTTTTGCACCTCATGGCTCTCCGATATACTGGTTTTTCCATTTTTCAGTTGTTTCGCTGATCCTGACGCTGCTTCGGTGCTGAGCGCGATCTCTATCACTTTTGTAAACGTGTCCAGCTTGAATTCCGCCAGCAAGCGTTTTATTGTGTTTTCGTCTCTTATCCCGACTACTAGTTGGTCCCGAAGTCGCTCGTCGAACGAGTTGCGCAATTACACATCATGGCCAGTTGTTTCAACTCACGAACGTATTCGGCGATGGATTCTTCGTATTTTTGTTTCCTTGTCATGAACTCATACCTGCATATTATTACCGGTCTGTTGGGTTTGCAGTGCTTGTCTAATGCGTCCACGATATCCCGGAACGAAGCTTCTTTGGCCGTCTTCGGCTGGAGCAAGGTATTTACCAATTTGAAGGTTTCGCTCCCACAAGCTTGCACGAACTCCAATTTTTTCTTTCTGTCTTCTTCGATGCCTCTTGCTTCGAATATCAGCTCGATGTGCAGCTTGTAACTTTGTCCAGTTACGTTCTTTGCGTCGAACTTTTGTCAATTTGCTTGATTTCGACGTGGATTCTTCTTCTACTCTCGTCGCCATTGTTCTATCCTGCAGACTCAAGAAGTAGTCTCCGGGGATCACGTTCACAGTCGACTTTTATTTTACCGGTCACAACCGCCGATTCTCTCGGCCGCTCTCTAGCGCGCGCGGATCACACTTCTCTGAACCGAAACCACTCAGTTCCTCAGTTCCCTTCAAACCATGGTGGGAACCTCGGAACTGCTTCTACCGGGATACAACAGAAGTATAATCTAGATGTTCGGAATTGAGCGTTCAATTAACACCACACATGATTCCCCATAATTCCCAGTCATCTCGAGCTGAACTCTTCTCACGAATTTCAAGATGATTCGCGCCATCTGTTCGAAATTCACCTCCTCGCACTCCTCCGCTGCAGAGAGGTGTACTCCCATCGACCAGAGATTCTCGTGTCATGGCGACAGCTTGAAGGGAAAACGATGGTGACGCTGACTAAAGGAGAGAGGGGAACAAATCGGCCCCCATTGCGAAATGTCTCATGTTTCGCATGAATATATCCTTCCTGCAACCCCCTGAGTCGCAAATGCAACGCGACCTGGAAGACTGAAAACCCCCTCGAAATCGAACAGTGATTTCGAATCAGAATAAGCTTCAGACATCTCACACAACCTTTATTTATGTCATATTGGAGGCTTCCCAGAGATGTGCATGAAATGCCTTCGGAAAGTGTCTCAGAAGTCGTGATTTGATA